CAATTTTATGAATTTTTTTTTAAAGATATGCAGTCCTTAGGTATTTCTTTATTATTTAAATGCACTTTATTTAAAAAATATTCTTCATTTAAATCGGAGATATCACAAATTTCAATATTAAAAGTTAAACTTCATTAAAAAGTGAATTTCAATAATAAAATATGGATGTAAAAGGAAAATAGTTTAAGACATTTTTTTATTATTTTTTATTTTATTTTTGTTAAAAATAATAAATTCATCAAAATAACGCGTTTAAATTATTTTAAATTTTATATGCTAAACAAAAGACGTTAGAAAAAGCTCTGTTTCGCAAAAATATATTTCAAAACAGCCACTACCTGTTTAAAAGTTTTAATCTAATTAAATAGATAAGTTTGATTTCCAAAATACTTTTGAATGGTGTTACCACTAACTTAAAAAGTTATATTAAAAAAAATGCGTTAAATGAAGTTTTACAATATGAATGTCACACGAAAAATGTCAAAGAAAGCCATGTTTCTAAACTACATACATACATAAGTTTGAAGAGGGCTACCACCTGTTTAAAAAGTTAAAACAAATTTTTAATAATGTTTTAAATTGAATATGGGTGTCAACTAAAGACGTTAAAATATTTTATTTCTAAAATATTGCTGATTAGCGTTGGCACCTGTTTTTGAAATCGAATTCTGTCAATTAATAAATTGGAACGTAGAATGAAATAAGAAATTGCTTTTTCTTAAAATTTCAGATCTTTTACTCGATTCATTCAAACAAAAATTGAAGTATAAGTAAGGTATGGAATTTTAAGAAAACGCAATTGATAAGTTTATATTAATATGGCCCATTAAATGAAATATTAAAATTGTTGTGCTTTACATATTTTTAACAAGAAGTGTTTTTATTCAAACGCATATCCGAATAGAGTTAAAACCTTTAAAAATAATTAAAAATAATTTAATTAAGATATTAATACTAAATACTAAAATCGGGAAATTTAACATATTTTCCGGAAATTATTTAAAAATCATTTAATAAGAGTGTTGCCAGAGTAAAATCATAATTATTTTTTCTGTTTAAGTTAAGAATGTTAATGTGTGTAATATCATATTGATATGAAACAAAAAGTGTTTTTAATCAGATACATTTCTTAGTGAAGTTGCCAGTGGGCATTGTGACCGCTGGGACATTTTACTCGAACTCGATGTGAACTGTTTCTATGTGGTCGGAACGTACACAACAGCAAAAGATATTTTTTAACACAGAACAATAACTAACGCATAAAACTGCTTTAAAAATATGTCAAACGGTTTCTTAGTTTTATGTAGCTATCATTTGAGTGGGACACTGAAAAGAACTCTATTTTACCTTTGTGCACTCAAAGATGAATCGTAGCCAAAACGCTTGATTTTAACAAACGATTTTTTTTGTTGTTGTTAAACATGAACTATGTGCTTTCCTTTACACTAAAATTTAGGCTTATATAATCTTCATAGAAATATTTAAAAATATTTAAATTTTTGATTGGTGGTGGCATTTAAAAATTTATGTCGTTTTCCTGTTATACATGGCATGACCCCAGTTTTGAAAGTAATGAAAAAATCATTTAATTCAAACGTTGACTGGAATATTACAATCGCTATATTTTACGTATTTTGATCAAATTATTTTGAAAGCAATTCAAACGAGTGTTGCCACAATTCTAAAATGTTTGTAATTTTTTTAACAATATGATTCAGATACATTTCTGAATACAGTTGCTACCTTTAAAGCTATCAAAATAAATGCCTAAAATTGAGACTGATTTTTTTAAATGTTAGCCCGTGTAGGGTTATTACTCTCCCACAATTCCCGGAATCGATAAATATCAAGGCTATCTTAACACTGAAAGGCCGGACGTATTAAGATAAACACCTAAATAAAGATATCAAACTGATTAGCATAATTTTGCAACAGACTGCATATCAGGATTTATTGAGCTTCAGATTTTCAGCACATCGATAGCTGAGTGGAAGATCGACCTATCACGGCGGCCAGTGCAAAAATGCCCAATGTCAGAAAATTTTTCAATAATGCCATATTTCAGAATTTGGTGAAAAATGCCCTATTTTAGAATTTGATTAAAAAATTCTCTATCTCAGAGTTGCGTTCAAAAACGCACTATCTCAGCACATTTTCAATCTATTTTCGTTTGAGATGAGGCGTTTTCGAACCAAATTCTGAGATAGGCTATTTTTCTCAAAGAGAGCAACCTTCAATAAAATACTAAAGAAGGGCCTTCCTGAAAATTTTTCTGACTGGCTGCCGAGATATGTTGACCTTCCACTCAGCCATCGATATCGTTTGAACCTAACTTATATCATTACCCTTCAGTTAGTAACCAAAAAAAAAAATATATATATAAAATTATGATAAAAATATATTCGCAATTAATTTATACTTAAAAAAATATCAATTGTAAAAAATCAAGTAAGCTGGTGAAGCTCCAAAGTTGGTTATTGGACAGCAAAACTAAAAAAATCTTACGTTGTGTCGACACTGCAATGAGCTGGAGTACGGGTTTGTATGTTTGTATCTACAGAAATAATAGAACTTATAACTAGTTTTGATAGTACTCTTGCCTACACATACTATCCTATCAGGTTTCGTCAGAGTAATAACAATTGCAGCAGAAATTCCTCTCATAATGGCTTCACGGCTTATTTCTGTTCAAAATGTTATTTTCGGGGAAATTTTTCAAATATCGCACATTTAATAATAAAGAAAATTATGTCAAAATTTCAATTTTGATTAATTGGTATGTTTAGAATACATTTTTGGGGAGTTTAGTTATCTGTTAGACTAACAATATTCTCCTTGTCAAGCTTATTAGTTGTGTGATGAAATCTCCAAAAATATAAATATTGAATTAATTCTTTATATGTATGCATTAATATGGTGCGGTATGTATAAAATGTGTATAGTCCGGTTTTATTAGATGCCGTTTATTTTAAAGACATCTCACGGGTTTGCTCCTTGAGATATGCAAGTACTATACGCAAGAGCTACAGCATGCCAAAACGATACGCATACGCAATGGTGCTATCTTAAATTGTATTATGTGCTAATACACCAAGCTGTGGAATACGGATATGTGTGGTAGAAAGCTTAAAAACGATTTCTTTCACTTACATTTAGGAGAAGAAACCTAGTTTGAATAGCACAGGCAGCAGTGAATTATTTTTACTCACGCATGCTGGGTTGGTTTTGAAACGAAAGCAGTAAACATTTACATCCATATGAATATGCAATTTTTGTGTGCGCATTACGCCAGTTATCGGAAGTCTTAAAATAAATTAAATTATAAAATTCCGGTGAAAATATCCCACCTTTTTTTTATGATACATTCTTATATTTGTACGTATCATTATTACCTTAATATAGAAAGGCCCTATATAACATTTTTGGTTTTTGACTAAGTGGTTTTGAAACTTTATAAAAACAGAGATCTTTCGTTGGGAGTGTCTTCAAAACAGTGGTTTTCAATAAACACTGAAGGTACTTAAATTAATTAAGTAGTAGTTGTTTTTAAATTTTAGTTGGTCATAAGTGAGTAATATGCCGACTTTAGTAGAAAGTTGAATATCAAACGAAAAGGTGTTAGGGTCTTTCTATATTAAGGTAGCAATACGGGTAGTTCGTTAAGAGTCACTAAGTTCTTCAAAATGATTGCAGAATATATGTAAGTTAAGAAACAAATTTCAGAAAACTCAGCGAAAAGTTATTGCCGCTTTTCTTTGTATTAAAATTAATGAATGGATAGTAAGTATAGAATATTTTTTAAAAATATTATGAATGAGTAAAAAAATATAGAAAAATTCAGATCAAAAATAAATTCTCTACAGTTGCCACCTTTCTTAAATTTAAAATGAATTATATAGTTCAGTTAAACAAAATTATACAATATTGTTAGTGTAAACGATTTTTTATCTAAATTTGCATATGCGCACTACCATTCTACAGTACCTGGGATCGAGCTAAAATTTAGACATATATATCTTAGAGTTTCTTGCTGTATTAATATTAAAAGTATTTCAGTAGTCAAGTTAGATAAAAATATCTTACAATATTGTTAATATATGTAAATATAAAAAAAGATGTTAAGGAAAATTGATTCCAAACACAAAAATGTTAAAATTTTAACATGCGTGTTATCCATAACAAAGATGTTAAAAAATTTAAATCAAAACTTATGTTTTCACATACCATCCAGCTTTTTTTCCAAATCCCGGATCAGCCAAAAGGAAGCCACTAAATATTTGAAAACCCTGAGAAATTCAAAAGGATCAAAACGGATCCAACCAAAAATCTGAAAATGGCCAAAAAAACTCAAAATGTCATGCAAGACCCCGAAATGCTTCCGTAGATCATGAAAATTACACTTGAATTCTGAAATCCCAATGAGCGTCAATAGGATCCAGAAAAATTCAGGGCAACTGTAAGTGAAAAGTCCCACAATGTCCACAAATCTGTAGTGCGATTCTGTAACTCTTAGCAATAAAAAAATTGTTAGGTTACATAACATTTTTTGCCGTTTGCACTAACAATTGTGTGATTCTCTAACTCTTGCTTAACAGCGAAAAACAGCTGATTATTCCTTTTTATTTAAAATGATGAAATGTGGCATCTCAGTCGAGATAAATGTCAAATATGCGAAAAGTACAAAGAGGAATAAGAAAAAAAACTTATTTCCTTCCCGCGGAAACGGAATTTTTAGCGCCAGCAACGTATTGCAATTTTAAAAGGTAGTATTTAGTTATTTTAGTTATTAATTGGAATTTACTAGAACTTCTTTTATTTCAGGATGTCTATCCAGCCGACGAAAAGGAGCCGTGCATCGGGGGAGCAGTTAAGCGCGATGCTTGACTTTCTGGGTGAAAACCCGAATGTGGCGAGCGGCAAGTTCCAGAAGCTCCATGGCAAGTTGGAGAACACCAAAAAGTGGGCAGAGATGGCAGATAAATTAAATTCTCTTGGGGGGGGGCTGCCAAATCTGTGGAGCAATGGCAAAATGTAAGTATAAGTGATGAAGTACGGGCATTTCCGGAAATGCATTACTGCAAAACATCGCACCTCTGATTCCAAAAATATGTTTGCTGAAATCAGACATTATTATATACTTAAGTATAAGGAGAGGTGCTTTGCAGTAAGGCATTTCCGAAAACGGCCTACACCAAAGAATAGTAAAGTATGAAAGTGTGTTTCTATTTTGCAAAAGGTCTGGCGCGACCTAAAAAGTCGAACATCGACGCGAGTTCGTGATCGTAAGAGGGAGCAAGCATTGACGGGGAATATACCGCTTCAACAGCCTCCCTTGAACGAATTGGAGAAGCGGGTAATAGCTCTAGTGGGAAGCAGCTATATGGAGGGGCAACCGGATGTCCAGGAGAATATTCCCATGGAAGAGGTAAGTTGAATTGTACCGTATTAAAAGCCCATGCCAATATGTTAATCATATTGCAATATTCATTATGCTATTTTTAGGAACTGCAATTAACATTGGGGGCGGCGGATGAAAATTTCCGCTTAGTCATGGAGGAAGACACCATGGTAATTCCTCCACTAACGGTGTCGGATGGCGAGTCGGAAATTCGGTGCGAAACTCCGAAAACGCCGAGGCAAACACCGCGCAGAACCGCTAAGCGGAAACGTGCGGAAGAATCGCCAACAAAGGCGAAATTTTTAAGAATTGCCGAGGCACAGGCCGAATCAGAAAAGGTAATTTTTTCAATACTGTATTTGTATTGAATTATTAATAAAACTTTTATTTTCTTAGAGGCTTGCTGAAAGTGCTGCAACCAACGCGGAGGCCAACCGCTCCAATGCTGAGGCAATAAGCAGAATGGCTGCTGCCACAGAGCGAATGGTTACCGCAACTGCAACAATGGCAGAGGCCTTCACGGTGTTGGCGGAGGGGGTGAAAGCTTGTGCGCATGCTTTCGCCCAGTTTACTAATTCACTGGGCCCTCCCCAATAGATTGTTTGTGTATATACTTTTCTTTTTCTTTTTTAAGGTTCATTAATTTTTTGTTAAAGTTAAGCTCCTTAGCTAACAAAACCAATATAAGTCCAAATTTGAGACTTTGTACAAAAAATTACAAAAATTCCACAAACTGTTCTTCACAATTCCAAGCATTTTAATTTTGATTTCTAGAATAATGCAATTTTATAGCTTATTAAAATCGAGTATAATAAAGTGCAAGTTATTCTATAAATTAAAATTATAATGCTTAAGAGGGGACGAAAAGTTTATGTAATTTCTATTTATTTGTTATATATTTGTTTATAGTGATAAGTGTTCGTGCCTTGAGTATACGCATTTTTTTTTAATATTCGCGATGTTTTTTATGCTATAAATTTTTGCTCAGTTTTTTTTTTCAAAGGATGGCTCATATTTTAACAAATACTATACAAATCTAAGTTTCACACTGTATACATAAATTAGAAGTATTCTGCCAAGTTTTATCCAAATCGCAAGATTTTTAATAAGAATTTCCAAAAAAAAGTATGTATCCATCCCAATTTTATTATAATTTGCAAATTTCAAATGTCTAAAAATTTGGGTTGTTTAATAATTTTTTGCTGTCCTGTGCATTTTTTCCATATAAAACATTTTCAATCATTTTTTATATGGTAAAAATGCATAGGACAGCAAAAAATTAGTATAAAACAACGCGCATTTTCAGACATTTCAAATTTGCACATTATCATAATAAAATTGGGATGGATACATACTTTTTTTTTGGAAATGCTTATTAAAAATCTTGCCATTTGGATGCAACTTGGCAGAATACTTCTAAATTATGTACATATACAGTGTGAAGCTTAGATTTGTATAGCATTTGTTAAAATAGGAGACATTCTTTAAACAAAACAAAAAATTCACAAAAAGATATAGCAAGAAAAAGATTGCGAATATTAAAAAAAATATCACCGTATTAATTATTCAATGAATTATTTTATTTTCATTTAGCTTTGGTGGCTATTATTAACTAATTTAATTTTATTGTACTAATTTTGAAATAAATGAAATGGTAATTTAATAAAAACTTCGTTTTATATATTTAATATGTATAACAGCATTTAATGCATATTTTTATTTACATATATTATTTATTTTATCAAAGAAGAATTAATAAAAAAGTTAATACTGAGGCTAAATAGTTTGCTTTTATTTTATTAGTTTTCTTACCGGCTACTGAAATTTTCTAGTGAAACTTAAATATGTACTTATAGTTGAATATATGTAATTTGGTTATGATTCAAAACAACAATTTTATTACGTGTGTCAAGTTATCACTATATTTTTCTAAATTTAAAAAGTTAAATAAGTTTTTCTTTCCACAACAAACTTACAACAAAAAAGTTACAATTAATGCCGTATTTAACTTTTAAATGAGTTGAAATAACGCATTATGTAACAGTTGTGCATGTACATAACAGTTGTGCACAAAATAAAAGGAGTCAAAATATCGCATTCCTAATATTTCGTGGACCACTCTAAATAATATCGGGTAGATATTTCCAATCAATTTATAATGTCGATACCCCAGTTATTTCAATGTCTACATGCATTCAGAGTACATAAAATGGTGAAAAATTTGTTAAGTCATTAAAAATATGTTTGCTTTAAATTTGTAGAAAAACATATCGTCACCTGAAACTCAAAAAGACGTAACAAAAATCATTGTTAAAATGCAAAAAGTCATAACTAATAAAAAATTCAAAATTTACTTTTTGATTTATATAATGGATTTCAACGAGTTACAACTTCCCACATCATTTTATGAAAAAAATAATGAAAATATTAGTCACGACTTTTTCAATCTCATTTACGATATTGTTACGTCTTTTTGCATTTCAGGTGACGATATGTATTTACTTATTTGGTACTTATTCAATAAGTGTCAGGGTGCCGGTAATGTTGTGGTATGATCCTTCTTTGTTATCAAACTGGTTCTTTAATTGACTTAATGCGCATTTGGCAGCTGTGCACTTCACTGATAGTTACGACCAATACCCCGGAATGAACTACTGTGGCCCTTGCACGGCGCCCATCAGCCGTTCGTCGTCATTGAAACGCTTCAAAACGTATTGGAATCGATGTAGTAAAGCAGTAACCGCCAAGCGCCCAGTGAAGACATTCGAATTCAATGATGTATCACCCCCGCAGTTGTATGTGCTAGAAAATTTGTGTTAGCGCTATTAAAAATGCCTGACTAGGCACATAAAACTCCTCTTTGGCATGGTTGTTTTTCGTTGTGATCTTTGTGCTTTCAATGCCGGTATTTAGCCAAATATTCCATGCAATCTACGTACAAGAAATGAATAAGAGATCTAAAAAGGTACTAAACTTCCCGCTAAACACAACTCACCCTGCAAATTCCTCATCTTTGTTTCCGCTGTTTCCTCGTTAGCAAGTGACGCCAATTTGTCTGCATTGTCATGCATAATTTCTTGCAGAGATTTTAGTGCGGCCAGCGAGTCTTCACAATTTTTACTCAAGGCAGCACCATCCACCTTCTCACTGCTTCCCGTACTGGAAAGCGCACGCACATTATCAAGCAACGGAAATAGAACTTGCCAAACGAGCGTCTGTTATGTGGGCTGGTTCAACAAACGACCATGCCAAAAAGAATGCGGCAAAGAGCATTGTGAACCGCACTCGCGGCAGTAACTATGCAATTACCAACTGAAGACACATAGGTATCAGCGGCTCACTGAAATGGTGAAATATGTATACACATTCCTTTGAAAATAATACCAAACAGAACACGCAATTTTACCTATGGGGATCATTTGCCTTCCAACATTTCTCAGGCAGAGAAGCGAGTATTATGCCAACAGCATTGATGTAGTTTTGTATCTCTTTTTGTGGTATCCATGAATAACCCTTCACAACAGCACCGGCACTCACAAATTCAATTGTTGTTTATTGGTTTAAAGCGAAACGCCCGGACAGTGTAAGGGCGCTGTTGGGTTGGTTGTTTTGTAATAGATTTAGGAACATTTTCAGCAATATAGGCTGTATTGATGCTTGGAAACAGAGGGCAACAATTGCTCTATAAGAGTTAATGAAAATGTAAACAATTATGAAATATGGGTTTGCTTTAGGGTTGTGCGATTATTCGATTACTCGAGCAAGTTGGTTAATCATTTGTTCGATTAACATATTATATTTAAAGTATGATAATGATTAATACGATATTAATTAAGGTTTTGAATAATCAATTAATTGCACAGCCCTAGCTTGCTTCTTCCGAATAGCTTACGCAAGAATCCTTTTAATGTCCACCGGTTCGATTTCGTATGAACGAGCAATCGTGCATACATTGCTACTAAAGCCGGCGCAGGTGTGGAACTTTTTCATTGAGGTATAAAAATCAATAAATTTAGCTGGTTAGTTCGCAGTTTTAGCGGTGCCATTTAACGGCTCGCCAAGTATGTTCATTGGACGTGAAAAATAAATACTGTTGATTTGTTGAATATGTATTACATATAATGCAAAAAGCGTTGCCCATTTCATTGTGCAGAGGAAGATGATAAAAAAACGGATGACAAATAAAGGCGTTAGTTAACGTGGATTGAACAAATCTAGAAAATAAAGGCAGTCATTCATGATAAAAGCGAACTCAAGTAAAATAACTAAGTTGATATAATTTGCTATAATGGTACTTACTTGCGTCTCTTGGTGGATGGCTGGCCTACTATCGAGACGATCGTTGACGGCATATATTAAGTTATACGAATATTTAAAAAAAAATTTGCTATAATTCGTTGCTGAACACGTTTTGCTACTGAAGAAGGTGCTGCGGAATCGTCATTAGTGCTTAGTATTTCGGGATCATAAACAACCCGATCGTCAAAAGCGGTTGTTTGATCGCCCAAACGAACGTTATGCAATGTTGCGCACGCGTTAACTACTCGGCCAGCAAAGCCGGGGTCATACAAAAGTACTCTTTGCCGTGATAAGCACCGCCATGTGCCTTTAAGGACGCCAAAGAGTCTCTCGATCGGGTTACGTGCTTTACATAGCGCCTCGTTGTAGCGAAACTTTGGTGTTCCTTCTGGCTCGTTTGGTAAAGGTGTCATCAGCCATGGCTCCAGCGGGTATCCAGAATCGCCTGAAATTTTTTTCTTTTAATATTTCTATTCGTATGGAATTAAAACAACTTACCTATCAAAAACGTGTTGTGATTTCCAGTTTCAAATGATCGCTGCATGACCCGACGCGCTGCAGAGAAGCTCCAAATAAACGAATCATGTCGTGCTCCCGGAAATTTTGCATTCACGTTTAAAATCTTAAGATTTGGATCACATATCTATAAGTTTGAACCATTATAAAATAACAATATAAATTTTCATGTTGTACATTTGTTCTTACCATTTGCACGTTCATCGAATGGTACCCATGGTGATTGACATAATTTGATTCATTATTTTTGGGAGCCAAAATTGCAACATGGGTGCAGTCGATTGCACCGATAGTTCCTGCTACAAATGGTGAAGGTGCAGACGCAAAAATTTCCTTTGCCGCTTGGCACTCCAGTTGCGTCATAGGGAACTTCACTTTGGAGGTAAACATTGAATTGTTGATTGCGTCAGTCACACGGTGTATGCAACGGCTTATCGATGTTTGGCTCATGGATATGCCCCACTGTTCACCTACTGGGCGTTGATAGCATCCAGTGGCATAAAACCGTAGAGCAGCTAGAACCTTCAACGAGTACATAAACACATGCTTATACAAGATGCTTTCTAGCGGTAATAGCAATTGTACGTTTCACAGAAAAAGCTGTTCCACGTCACATAAGGTTTATTAAAGTTAAAAGCAGCTTTTTCTGTAAATCCTTGAAACCTTCAGACCCTGCAATTCGTACTACTGCTGGAACGCACCTATAATATTTAATAAAGTTGAAATACATGTATATTGACTTACCTGCTTTTCAGTCGATAACGCTGTTATTCGCGATCCTCTTAATTGATTGTCAAGTTGAGACACCAAATTTTCAACCATGCCGGGACTGAGTCTATATAGCCTCCGGAACTCCGTTAACGTTAGTTCGAAAGGGTTATCGATTTCGCGAAGCCTACGCCGGTCAATTCTTGGCACGTTTAATGGCTGCTCATTATCGGTATCATATAAATATGATGCAATGTATGCAAATGCCATTTTTTAACACAATCTTCACAATTTTCTCAATTTAACTTCACAGCAAAATTAGTAAACAACAGCTTAACAAAGAAAAACTAGATGCTGTTAGCTTAACCACAAAAATAATTGTCACCAAACAGCTGACTGCGTTTGTTAACACTAAACAATGACAAATATGGTTAAAGTTGATACACAATCACTTAACCCCAAAAAAAGTTGTTAACTAGAGATAACAACGTGAAATGTGGTTAAAATAAGATTCAGAATCGCACTACTGGTGACGAATCTGCTCCTATGAGTTTCCGGCCTAGTTTGGAGTCGCCTGTATACACAAATTTATGGCATCAGGCGTATGATAAGACTTTCTACACCGATCCTGTTATGTTGATATCACAAATTTTGCGTTTCTCATCGGAAGTAATTTAAACTATAAATTAAGTTACACGCATATTAAAAAATATGTTAAATTATCATTTATTAAAAGAATGTGTTCTCTATTTTATATGAGCTTTGTTTGCCTTACATGTTTTTTTTTGAATAGATATTGCGCTTGGAATTCAACTTCAAATAAAATTTACAGTAAAATAAACCTTGGACAATAAACAACAAAATCACGCAATGCAATTAATTTTCATGCACAGTTGATGGCAGCAAGGAAAATCATTAAAACAGTGACAGACATCAAATCTTCACATATAGTACATAAGTACATAGATACATAGTTTGTTTTTGTTAGCATGTGCTTTAACTTTAGCGACAATGAAACTCCTATCAATGTCTGCCACTTCATTACAACATACTTAGCAGCAGGTAGTTGCCTGTACCCATCGTCACAGTTGCCAGCGGCGAATTGTGGGAAATTGTTGACGAACTTCGTGTTCTCGGTTGTGCTCCCCTTATATTTTGTTTTTACTTTGCTCTTAATGTGGCTTATGCTCGCTCAAGATGAGTAAGTAATTGAATACATGACAGCACACCGTCGGTCGGTAAGCTCTTCAATCAGTCGTCAGTCGTCAGTTGGTAAACGGTGTTCAATGTGCTGTTGCTGCTAACTGAAGTCAGCTACAAATTCTCGCTAGTTGCGTGACATTGCGCTCACGGCGCTGACATGGAGTGAAAGAGAGCAGGATGGTGTTACCGCAATTTGAAAAGCGCTCATTTGTTAGGAAATCGTTTAGTTATTCGTATTGTTTTTGGGCAGTTCCTTTTTAAAATTCATGTTGCTACTCTCTGTTCTCCTTTTTTTACTTAAGTAGATTTTTAGTACTAATTTTGCCTTACAAATGCTTGAATTTGAGTCGGTCTCTCAAATAATTTTTAACCTACGTTATTAGAGAAACGTTTTCTCTCCTCAGGCGAAGTTCTAAATACTTCGTTGGTTTTCTTTTACACTCAAATCATTTCAAACATATGCTCTCGCCTTTGCTCAACTACTGTTCTGTGCTCGATTTGCTCTCATTGCCTATCTAATTTTTACACTCAACTCATTGCTTTTTTGTTCTCATAAAAACTTAAATTTCCGCTCTCAATATATACATATGTAGGTCTCAAGTTCATAACTCTCGGCAGCTGGTGAGCATATACCAAGTCAGTCGCTCTAAACTATAAAAAACTTCGAAATTAAACTGCAGAATTTGTTAGTCCTCAACTTCAACACTCCTCCTCGCTCACGCTCCTTCATGCTCTTTACTCACATTTCCTACCCCCGCATTCCTCTTTCCGTGTGAATGTATGGTAGGATGGTTGGATTGTGTGTTGTACATACATACATACATATGTACATATATATTTTAATGTGTTTGTGTGTGTGTGTAGTGCCATATTTGAGTGCCCCTTAAATGTTGCCACTCGTGACTCTTGCTCCAACAAAACTTTCTTTTCACCATTATTACTACTGGAGGCATGGCAGTTATATCTGTTGTTGTTGTTATTGCTGATTCTAGCTACTTGTTTACTACTGCTTACCGTCAAATTCTCCAATTTACTCACCAGCTTAGCTGGTTCGTTGTTTGAGGGTTGTTTCTTCAGTCGTGAAATTAATATTTGGCGGCATGTTGATGAGCATAAAGTGAAAGCGCCTAAATGTATATCTCAAATGTAACATTACTTTAGCAAATATGAATGAGTGGCCATGCCGACAGGCAAACTGACAAACTGAGTAGCCGATTGACTGATTGACTGACTGTCTGACTGCATAGATCGTCTATCTGTCTGTCTGTCAGCATGCCTGTCTGCCTGATGGACTGCTGCCTGCTGCATTGATGCTATGTGTTGCGCGAAATTTTCTCCCAAATTGCTATTATTTTGTTGTTGGTGTTTTTGTTGTTGTGGTTGTTGTTATTGCTGTAGCTTTGGTTTCTTTAACTGTTGTTGCCGTTGGTGGTGTGGGCGCTGTCGCCATTATTACTAGTGTTTCAGCTGATACATTATGTGCTGGTGTTGCTCTTATTGTTGTTGTTGTTGTTGTGAAATTCATTTTGTGGCTATCTCGATTAAAACCGCGTTGGCTGCTATCGTCGCTGACCGCTGCTGCGCCATCACAATCAATTCACTCAGCCTCTGCCTCAGCCACCGACTGCTTCAACTACTCACTTCAACACTCTCTTCGCAATCTCCCTCCACTCCCACCCTTTCTCTATACTAACGCGTAACCAATTTCCACACTTCCATTGTTTCTATTTTGGCTTATTGTAGTTGATTGCTTTTGCTTTTGGCTTTGTTGTTAATCATTCTATGTCGTTTTTGTTATTATTTTCATTAGTGTTGTTGTCATCGTTATGCCGCACACTTATTTCGCATATTTCACTAGCTGCTGCTGTTAATATTAGTAATTTGGTTCATGATTTTGTTGCTATTGCCTTTGCTTTTGCTTCTGTTTTCGATTTTATGTTTGATGTTCTCGACTGATTTTGTTGTTGTTGCCACTTTTAGCTGTTTTTGTTGCCACCATGGCTACTTTTAACTATATATACAAGCATACACACATTTTCTACAGCTATGACTGCTTTTATGCGCCCTACTTTTATTGCGGTGGATGTAGCTTTGGGCTATATAGTTTCAGCCTGATTTCCTTAACCCCCTCGCGGCGCTGGTTGTTCTTTGATATGACGCCAGCCGTTATAGCTGCAGTGTTTATAGTTATCGCCATCATTTTGTTTGTTGTAGTTGTTTTTGCATTGTGAATTTTTTGTGCTGTCCTTAGCATTATTACTTTAAATCCGTTTTCGCTTCACTTCGCCCATACAAAAGCTATGAAACCAAGTACTTATGTACATACATATGTATGTATGTATTTAATCAGCGTTGGATGGCTGCAGGACGGCGGGGGTTTCGAATAAATTTGGTAATTTAATAGTTTGCCTGTTTGTGCTACAACGATAAATTTAAAGTCTTTGTTTTATGTTGGCAAAATGAGTTGTAAAATATTTATTAAAAACTAGCTGAGTACCCAACATAACACTAAACAAATCAAAATATAAATCTGTAACAAAATGCTTCGGCTCAGTGCCTTTACACGGGTCGATTTTCTAGTCGATTTTTGTCGTTCATCCAAAATTGGCCAGTGTAAACCGTAAAGTGTAAGTGATTTGGGTGGTCAATTTCTCAGTCGATTTTTAAAGGAGACATAATATATATTTTCTTTTTATTTATCTAAAGGCCACCTTGTGAACAATACTTTTAGTTTTATCTTGCGGTGCAGAAGCATAAACACAGCCCACTCATGAGTATCCGACATATCACTGACCGTGGGAAAAGCAAGGGTTTTAAAGCTGATATCCAGCCACTGTTAATATTTGATCTTGTGATTTGTTTATCAGCATATCAAAGCAAAGCCTCAGAGAATACAAAAGCCTAACAAACTCAAATGGAAGGTCTATGGAAATTCTTGTAACTCGTGAGAACAAAGTATTTTCTCCTTTGCCGTATCCATGTGTAGGTTAGGTTATTTTATTGTGGAAGATCCCACGAGGGACAAACTATGGCATTAATTAGATTGTGCTTCTTCCAAATTCTTTGAACGGTAACAACAAAGAGAAGAGCTGCTTGCTCAAAACTAAGTAACGCAAGCAGCTGATGTCCACTCCGGAGAGATTTTCGTGAGTATTCATAAAATGTGCACTCGAATACCGGGAAACTGAGAAGGAAGTGCTGAGATGGATCTACCTCGTTTTGAAAACAGCTGCGCCAATAGGGTTCCGAGACGATATTAGGGCGCACCGCGTAAGAATCTAGAGCTGGCGCTTTGCCAGCAGTAGAAGCTCCCTTGACCGCCGGCGGTCATCAACCGGCTAGAATGAATTTCTAGAAGGGCTGGTAGAAGAGACATAACATTTGAGAAAAATTCGCCATGGAAAATAAAAATAAAATGCATCCATCTTCTTTACAGGTTTTGACACAAATAAATTAAAAATTTTGCAGCGAAGTGTCGCGCAGCTGCATAGTGGGATTTCTGCGGAAAAAATTACATTGGTGAAGGTCACATTTGACGTTTTTTATACTTATTACTAATACTACATCGCATGGCTGACTCGGTTTTACAAAGATTTGGCAGCAAATAAAATTCCAAGTTTGAAAACTAAGCCAGTAAAATCATGGGACTGAATACCTACAGATTTAAAACAATATAGAAATACATACTTATTTCAAGTGACAGGATTTTTTTCTTTTTGTAAAGACTTTTTTTCGAAAATAGTGCAAGCATTAGAAATTGTAAATAATGGAGGTATTTAACTTTTAAACGATGTCGTAAAGTGTACAAGGGTAAATTATTATCTTTTACTTCATCTCTTATTATCTTTTCAGAAAGCAACGCCGAATTTAGCAATTGTGACAAATTTCAACATTCCTAATTCTGAAATAGCTGAAATTGAAAACGAAAACCTTTAAAATAAATATCCACACCTTATACATCGAGTTCTTGAGGAATGTTATACAGCACTACGTAAATTGTTTTAGCCTTCTTTTACCAAAACGCGGCATGCTGCATCGAGATTAAAAATGTTTTTCTGCTTTTTAACCTTGAAGGCTAAACAGTTTTACCAAACATTAGCCACTATTTTTATAAACATATATATGCATATAGGGTTTCTGCTTTCCCTTTTTGTATAAATCAGCTTGCGCAAGTACGCAGTTTGTGTAATACGAGGTCGTTTCTTTACCTTTTTATAGCTTTTTAAAGCTTTTTGAGGTTAGGCTTACATGGGAGGTGTGCGTAAAAATACACCGATTGCAGCCATTTTAAGGGTGTTTGCTTATATTATCATTA